TTTAAAACATTTCAAGGGTATAATTTAGGACTTCTTACACTCACAAGTTGTGCAACTGCCACCACAGTCTAATTCTGGAATACTCCATCATATCCCAAAGATATCCCATCCCCATCAGCAATCGTGCCCCTCCTACCCCAGCCCCTGGCACCACGAACCCACTCTCTGTGGCTGTGCCTGTCCGGCATGTTTCTCATTAGTGGACTCACACACCACGTGGACTTGTGTGTCCGGCTTCTCTCCCTGAGCACCATGTATTCAGGGTCCCTCCCTGTGGCAGCGAGTGGCAAGCTGCCCTTTTCATGGGTGAATAATATTCTACTGTGGGGATAGACACATTTCTCTCTATCCAGTCATCCATTGATGGACATTTGGGTTGTTTCCACTTTTCAGCTTTCGTGAATTGTGTTGCTGTGAACATTCGCGATTAGGTGTTTGTGTGAACACGCGTTCATTTATCTTGGGTAGAAACCTAGGAGTGGAATTGCCAGGTTACGCATTAGCAGTCACACTTGAGGATGAATCATTTATTTCTATAGACCTTAGTGAGAGCCTGGAACTGTGCTGAATTTACAGAAGTCATTGAATACTTGGGGCAACCCCAAGAAGAAGGTATGTGTATGGGTCCCCACCAGGCCTGTGCCCAAGATCAGTGGAGGTTGAAATGTCAACAGACTCTGTTCCATCTGGTAAGCAGCCAGGGCCTCCGCTCTCTGCTCCCTACCCACATTCCCCCCACCCAAAATTAAAGGGCAAACACCAGACACAGCAGGGGATCTCCCAGACCCCCTTCTGAGCCAGTGCAATTTCCCACACCCACTTGGAGTCACGTCTACTTTGCTTAACGGTGGTTAAGCATTTTGAACCCCATCCCCCCAGCCCACCTCCCTAGTCAGGCCCTGTTATAGGGTCCCACTGCCACACCTTTGCTCACGGAGGGCCCCTGCCTGGGGGCTCCCGGGGACCTTCCTTCCCTGATGGTACTTGGCATAAGCCCCCCTCCAGCCACAGGGCTCTTCCTCCTCTGCCTGCACCCTGGAGTGCGGCTGTAAGCTCTCCAGCACTGTGGTCAGGCTGTGGGCTTCTGGAAGGCCAGACCACCTCCTTTTCTCTCAGGACCCTCCCCCCCTTCTCTCCAGGACACTGTAGAAGCTCAGGGACCAAGTTAAAGGAGAAAGCAGGGTTTGGGGAGCTGCACGGGGCGGGGGGGGGGGGTGCAGGGCAGAGCCTGTGACCTGTCAGAGGCAGGACTGGTCCTGTGTCACCTTGGGCAAGTCATCTAGCCTCCCCCAGGCTCGGACAGGTAAGATGGGGCCAGAAACTTGTCCTGCCCACTTTCACGGGGTGCAGCAAGCATGAAGGGGAGGGCTTCAAGCACGAAGGGGAGGACTTTAGGCTCTATCAGGAGTCTGTGGAGAAGATCAACTTCAATGACCCCCTTTGCAGACAGGGATGGAGGCTCCCAGGGAGTGCGACCTTCCCCAAGGTCACAGGGGCAGCTGCAATGCCAGTCCAGGCAGGAGGACATTTGAATAAGCAAGTCCTGCCACCTTGGGGTGGGTGAGCGGGGCTGTGGGTCTCAGTCTCTCCTACCCCAGGGCCTCTCTCAGGGTCCCCAGGTGCTTCACTGCCAGCTTCCCTCTGTCCCCTGGGAAGCCTGGGGAGAAACCTGAGACTCACCCTGTTCAGGCTGCCATGGGGCCCAGCCTCTCCCTCTGCCCTCCTTCTTCCTCTGGAGCCGCCCTGCCGTTGCCACGGGGACAATGTAACAGGCAGGCCCTCCACCCACCTGGCCGGCGGCGGCTCAGGTGCGGTCTCCAGCTCTGCTCCGTACCTGGTCAGCTGGGAGCTGGGAGTGGGGTGAGGCCTGCAGGGCTCACGCTTGTTTCATTTTGAAACCTTCCCCTTCCTCACCCCCACACCGCCCAGACCCCCGCTTTCTGGGAAACCCTGTCACAGCTTCCTCTGAACTGTGTTAACCCCGGAGCCCGCGGCCCCCAGGAGGGCGGCCGGTTCCGCCTCCTGACCAACTGAGGCTTCCTGCCGGCACATACCTCCACCCCAGTGGCCAGCCCAGCGCACAGCTCCTGGCTCCTCTTTCCAGAAGGTTCTGGGCAGCCCTGTTGTTTCCTGCCTAGGTCAGAGAAGCCCCCCCCCCCCGCCCTCCCGCCCCCCCCCCCAGCCTCTCCTACGTGCCTCATCCAGGTTCTGCACACAGGAGGTCCATGGCTTTGGGCGGGGCTGCCCCAGGGCTCAGATGAGTGTGTGTGTGTGGGGGTCTGACCACCGCTTGGCCCCATGGGCTGTTAGATTCATTTCTGTAATCATGCTTCATGCCTTGGCACTGCAGACATTGGGGCCGGATCACTGTCAGGGCTGAGCAGCTTCCCTGGCCCACCCACCTGATACCAGCAGCACCCCTATGGGGACAACCACAGATATCCCCAGGCCTTGCCCAGTGTCCATGGGGCGGGACGCAGATTGCCCCCACTGAGACCAACGGGCTCGCTATGCCTGGGAGGGGACAGCATGCTGGCCACTTGAAATGAGGTCTGTGGGAACTGAGCCGTGAGGGCCGGACACACAGCAGGCACAAGGACGTCATACAAACAACAGAATGTCAAATACTAAACCCATTTTCCATATCGATTGCAAGGTGAAATGCGAACACTTTTGACTGTATTGGGTTAAACAGCTAAACAAAACATCAAATTCCCTTCGCCTGTTTCTACTTCCGAGGTGGCTGCTAGGAAGTGGAAACCGCCCGCACTGGGGAGGTTTTCTAGCCTTGCAGGCGCTGGGGTGAAACCTGCCTGGAATCTGCCCGCAGGTTCTGGACTTTTTCTCTTTTTCTTTCTTCCCTGCCCCACCCTGGGACTTTGGTTCCACTTAGGGGAGGGACAGCGGCCTGTCCAGGGGCCTGGCGGATCCTATCTGAGAATTCCACAGGATGGCGCGGGCCTGGGGTCAGCCATGACCCTGAGCTTAACAGTGAGTATGCAGAGGAATCCTGCCCTACTGCGGGCCGGAAGGAGGAAGCCCGTGAAGCTGGGGGGAGCTGGGTCATCTTTTCCCAGCTCTGGGGGTCACTCGCCGGGCTCACTAGTGGGAGCCGAGGGAGCTTCTTTGGGCTCTGAGGCACAGTGTGAAAAGGAACCGGGCAAGGAGGGCTCCCGAGGGAGACAGCACATGTGCTCATGTAAAGTGCTGCTTACTTATGATGAAAATATCAAGCTGGAAAAAAACGTGAGCTAACCAGACGCTCAGTGTTTTCCTCCAAACCAAGCACAAAATAAATACAGAAACTGAAAAAAAAAAAAAAAGCGTAGTAGGGGAAATGCAAGTCAAGCGATCCTAAAACAGGATCTTTGCTTACTGACTTTTTTGGGAGACCGTCAGACAGGTGCAGGGGCAGGTCACAGGTGTCCACCAGTATCCACGAACATGACAGATCCTTATAAAACACTCGGGTTTCTAATAAGAACCCTGGGGAGGGGCCTTGAACCACCTGGCAGACTGGCACAACCTTCTGCCTGAACCCCCCTGTGTCAGGGGACCCCAAACCCAACAGTGTCACGTATTTTGTGGAGGGCCTACCCGCCCACCCCAACCTGCCCCCTTCCGACAACCTACAACCCAATGGCTGTGCCCTGGCTGGGGACTGCTGTTGACCTTGATGTGACCGAGGGTCTTCCATTAGAGGTTGGCCAGGACCAGTTCTAAGGATGCTTGCAGGAAATGGGGGGGAGGGCAGGTTGGAAGATACCTGGAACTCAGCCATCAGAGACACTAACACACTTTCTGGAAGGCTCTAGCAGGCTTCTGGCTTTCTGGGAGTCTGGGCTGATGCGAGTGGGAAAAAGCCAGTTTCTTACTAGTCCTTTGCTGAGGTGCCACAGAAGCCTGGCAAGAGCAACAGCACAGCACAGAAAGCGACAGAGGCCCTCGGTGAGCTGGTGACCTGGGGGCCATTATTGTGGAGGGGCGCTGCTTTTCTCCATTCTCCCCATTGCGGGAAGCCTTTCCTCCAGTGACCCCAAGTTCCCCTGCTCCTCTGGGACCCTTGAAAATGGCAGTGGGCTCCATGCTAAGGGGGCCTGGCTGGGGCCCTGAGCCCTGACTTCACAGGACAGGCCCAAAGATGCTGAATCACAGTTATGTTAGGTCCCCTTTCCTCTGTGACGTCCTTCCCGAGGAGCTTGGGTACCCAGAGTGAAACCTTCATAAACTTTCTTATCTTTTTTATTCTTTTCTAAATCTGTGGGACTTTGGGGGGAAACTTGGATGTGGCAGAAGCTTGGAGAAGTGGTTAAGGGAGCCAGCAACTTGTTGACTCTTTGATGTTCACACACGTGCACACATGCCACACACACCCAAAAACCAATCAGCACAGGAGACTAGAAGGGTCTCCCCTTAGGAAGAAAAGGACCCAGCAGCTCCCAGAGCCACAAGCACCTGGCTTTGCTGCTCTTTCTCCGGGAACGCAGGGCTAGCTTGGCCTGCACTAGGCCCCATCCCTTCTGGAGAGCCCTTGCCCTGCAGTTTGCCACAGATGAATATCAGCATGTCTCAAGTCTTCAGGAAGTATTAAGGGGGGGGGCGTCCCACAGCTTCAACATCTCAAGTGCTTGGAGGAGGGGAAGCCTTAGCAGCGGCCCTGTGCTCTGCCACTTCCTACTGCCCGACAGCCGGGAGGCGGCCCCCTTTCTGGGGTGGCACAGTAAGGCCAGAAAAAAGCTGGGCTTTAGGTCTCAGGGCACCTGGCTGAATACCCTGATGGACACCAGAACTAGGACGAGACCTCACTCCTGATGCTTCCTTTTCAACCACTGCGGCTGAGGCCCTGAGAGGCTGACCTGCCCTGGGTGGCCGCTTCTGATTCGAGGGATAGCAGAGGTGACACAGTCACCCACCCGCCCACATCTGTTGGCCTACAGGCGGGGGTGGGCGCGGGGGGGGGGCGCGGGGAGAGCGTAGGCCTTATCTACAAGATCTGCTGGGGTTTTCAACCACACTGACTGCTTGGAAACCCAACACTTCCTTTCTGCAGAGCTGAGTATTGGCTCAGCTGCGTCCAAGAATCAGAAGTCTCTGCTCCCTGAGCACAGGAGGGTACGAAAAAGTCCCTGCGAGGGGGCTGGTCATGTTCTGTTGAGGGGATCTGACAGGAGCAGAAGTGGCGAGTGGGGGAGGGGGCTATGCGGAGAAAATCTTCTGCCTGAACCCCCCATGTGTCAGGGGACCCCAAACCTAACAGTGTCACGTGTTTCGTGGAGGGCCACGGTCCCATGAGGCCTCCCTCCATGGAGACAAACATCAGGCAGCACCTACCTCTCTTGGGGAAAAACACCAACGTCTATGGGTTCCCTCCAAGGGCTTCCTCCTGTGAAAAAAGAGCAAAGCAGGTTCCTGACCCCCGCCCCCCAACAGCCCGCCATTTCTGCAAGCACAAGTGTGACCCCAGGTCTGGGCTGCCTGGGCGACACATTCCCACCCTGGGGTGAATTGGACCCTGGACATTAACAGGCGACAAAGGAACAAAGACGCTACATGATCAAGGTTTGCTTTTTTTCTCCCTGTTTTGATTTTTTAAAACCTAAGTAAGCAGGTTCTGAGGAGACAATATGAGCAGCATCCCCTCTCCCAGGGACCAGAGGGTCACACAGGCTGCGACAGGTAGGAGGAGGTTAAGTGTCCGACATGTGCATGGCGTCGGCGAGGGTGCGGCGGAGGGGAGGCGGAGCTGCCTGTCCTGGGCTGGGAGGGCGGCAGACAGGTGGCGGACAGGTCACCCGTCACACGGCGATGCGCGTGGGTGTGCTGGGCTGGTTCAACCGCAGGGTTTTACACAACCAGCCAGCGAAATCCACCTCTTCCACCTCAGACCGTTTGATGAAGGTGTGGTTCTGAAAGGCAAGAAAAGGCAGTGAGCAACAGGCCCTGGTGTCCGCGGGCTGGAGGAAGGGACGGGAAGGTTCCCGCCTCAGGAAGACACAGTTAGGAGAGGGGAGAGGAACCAACTTCGGAGGGGAGGTGCAGGCCCAAGGCCCACAGGCCTGGGTGGGCTCCCAGAGGGGAGGGGAGGTTATCTGGGCTTCCCGGAGCCCAGGACCCACTCTTGGCAATGCAGACACTGGGTAGCAACATGGGGGTATCCTGGGCACTGTGGGCTGCTGAGCAGCATCCCCTGCCCACCCACTCAATGCCAGGAACATGCCCAGTGTGAGCACCCCAGGGGGAAACATCTGATCTGCAACAGAACTCTGTGAAGACAAGACTCGTCTCGCCCAGCAGCCCCTGGTCACAACGAGGAGCTGAGCCCTTGAGCTGAGGGCCCTGAGGGTGGAGAACAGAACTTTGCCTGCTACTTTGTTTCAGGTCATTTAAGCAGCCACATAGGACATCAAGCCTGCAGACCCCAAATGCTGCCTCTGAGGCAAGCTGGGGGCAGGGAGGCCATCCTTATCTTCCTAAAGGTCGGCACAGGCTTGGGGGAAGGACCAAGGGAGGGAGCAGGACTGTGGTGTGGGGCAACAAGAGCAGCTACAAGGCTAACCCCAAAGAGCAGATAATTTTACTTGAGCAGAGAGGTCTGGAAGGTTTTCCTGCACAATGCTAACTTCAGGGTGGGGGTGGGAGTGGGGCCCTGACAGAGGATTTCAACATCAATGTGTTTCTCTGGTTCACATATTTATATATACATGTTTATATTTACAATGAACATGTATTTAACACCCATTAATGGAAAACCTGCTATGTCAGTCGCAGGAGTGTCTGGGCGTTTCTAAAAAGAATCAGAGAAAGGCAGACCCCTCCCCACACGGTGCTGCAGATGTGGGCTGTGGCACACTCAACCACCACAGGACATGAGGCTGCCACAGCTAATAGATAGGCGCGGGATTTGCTGAGGCGGCTGGGGGCTCCCTAGAGAAGGCGCGGGAGTGAAGACTTGCAGACGGGGAGAGTGACGGAGAGAGGAGCAGCTGCATGCTCTAGACAGAAGAGTGCCTTGCGCAAAGGTCTTAGGGCACAAAGTGGAGTATGGGGTGAGCAAGGGCACAAAGTGGAGTATGGGGTGAGCAAGGAATGGTTGAAGGCGGCTAGGTCTGGTCTTGCTGGGTCTGCTGGCCTTCACCCAGCAGGGTGTGGCCGGATTGTTCAAAATGCCATGCTCCAACCATTATAAGGTGGCCGCTTTCTGTCTGGACATCTGAGGAACACAAATACCAGGCTGTCCTGGGGCTGTCAGGGTCTCGGGTGACTGCCCTGGGTGATGGAGGGAGAGGTGGGGTGCTATTCACCGTGGATGTGGTCAGGGAAGCCCTGACGACTACCCCCCAGGAAGGTCAGTGGCGGCCTGGTTGTCTTCCCCCAACCCCTGCTGGGGGGGACAAGCTTCAGTGTCCACCTCGGTCTTCAAGAACACTGACGGTGTGGGTTTACAGGAGGCAACTACCACACTGAGCTCCTGACCTTTGGGGAGATCCCAACAAACCAGAGGCAGGAGTGACCCTTTAACCTTGGAGCCCATAACTGTTTCTGAGAAACCCTGACCCCCGATAGAGTAAGGAGGCCTGCCCTGGGGGGCCAAGACTTATGGGCCAGGTAGGGCTCACTGGGTTCTCCAGCCAGGGCCCCAGATCCCCAAGCCTTCTGCAGCATTAGAGCTGGCCAGCGCTTGCTCTGGGCAAGAAGGCCCTGGCTGGGTCTCTCCTCTTCATGGGCAGCAGCCAGCACCCCCATGACCCCAGAATCTGTTGGTGTCACTCACCATGAGCATCTTCAGATCCGCTCGCTCTGCTGGGTTCTTAATTAGGCTGAGGGGTTCCACCAGATGGGGAGGGGGTACAGAGGGTGGGGGAGACAAGACAGGACAGTCAGCGGGTGGTTTGGGACTTGTGTTTTCAGCTATGACCAGGCAGCCCGTGCTGACCCGGGCCTGTCATTTATTCCTTAAATTTTAATAATACAATTGATTTAACCTAATGTGTGCAAAATCTACGGAATATAGAGTGTATTCCTGGACATGGCAACCCGCCCTGCTGTTGTCACTTTGTTGCCTGGTCCCCGCTGGGTGAGGGCATCCACACTTTCTAGACACCTCCACCAGCATAGGAGGGCTGAGGTCTGACAACAGGACAGAGGCCCAGCAGCAACTGCTGCTAAATTTCTACTAAAATCCCAAGTTTGGAAGTCTGAATGTAAAAAGGGAAACTCTTCCTACAAAAAAGCAGAACTGTTTAAAGGCAGCTTCTTAGAGTCATCAGGGACTGAATGGTGGTTGTTCAAACACCAAGGAAGCCTCTTGTCCAGACAGGAAAATACTGGTAAGGGTGACTGGGTCCAAGCAGCACCTTGGCAATAGCGGCCCTGCAAAGGGCCTGTGGTACATTCACCCCTGGGGGTGAATATACCTGCTACGAAGTCCCGAGGCAGAGGCCGGGTTGGCAGTGTCCGCTTGTTCTGACATGCAGGGCAGCCCTGAAGGTAAGTGGGGCAGCCCTGGGGCCCCTCCTAGTCCACAGCCTGCTGGTGGGTTACAGGGCTAGAGGGATGAGGGCACCTGGGGGCTGGCTGGCGGAAGGGAAGGCGGGGACCGGCTGGGGACAGCAGCCGAGCACTGTGACTCAGCAGCCTGCGAGGGATCTGGGTTCTCAAGTAAGGCCCAGGTGCTGCTGGCCACCCGGCATTCCTGACCAGGAAGGAGCGGCGCATCCAGCTGCCTGCTCCCGGAGGAAGGTGACGCTGCTCACGGGCTGGCACCTGGCCCGGCCTAGCCCGGGATGGAAGGGAGGCTGTGGCCTTACCATTTATTTACAAACTCCTGGAAGTCCTGGGTGAAAACGCCATTGGGCAGCTTGGGAGGAGGCTGTGGGAGAAAAAGCGAGGGTGGGGTCAGCGGATGTTTCCAGAACCATAGAGCAGAGACACCTCCCAGCCCCGAGCACCTGATGACGGCTTGATGCTTTTCAGGGTCTCTTAGACACACTCCAGGGTGCTGCTTTATCTACCTCCCAAGCCCTGGGGCCCAAGCTACCACTCTGAAGGGGGTGCTGGCAGTCTCCCTGGGATGCAGGGCGCACTGGGAGACAGATCCACTGCCCTCTTGACACCCAGCCTTGGGTCAAGCCCAGTTGCCTCATTACTCTGCTTTGACTTCAAAAGGCCACCTGGCTATGCTGAACATGCACTCTGGGGGCAGGTCCCAGCTCCGGGCCCTTGGGTCTTCTGGACTGTGCAAGGGGCTCAATCGCACCACTGCTCATGGGGTGATAAGGGATCAGGTTGCCGGCCCTCTCAGCCGGTGTCTTCTCCTTCCCAAACAGGAGGGCGATGCCGCAACCTTCCCCGAGGAGGTGAGACTTTATGACTTCATCCATACCGACTCGGGATCCTCCAGGAAGAGACCCAAGCACTGGCTATTGGCCTCGGAGGGAAGAGACTGTGATGGGCATCCTGGATTTTTCTTTATAAAAACAAGCTTCCCCAGGGTGGCAACTGTGCAGTGAGTTCAACAGAAGATAAGGCCAGTTCTACATCCCATAACCTCACTGGAAGGAACCGTCTAATTTCTCTGAAGTCTTGTCCTCCGAACTAAATCCAGTCTAGGTGAGGAATTCTCTTTGGCAACTATTCCAACAGGAATTATTTAATTCCACTGGCGGGAAGACAGGCCAAAGGGCCTTGGGGACGCACCTCATTCACAATATAGTCCAGCAGCTCGAAGATAGCCATAGCCGGCCGGCTGTCCATGCCGTGACCTGGGGAGAGACAGGACCTGGGTGAGGCGGCTGCCAGCCAGGGGCACCAAGATCTGCATGTGCGGAGCATGGTCAAGCACCCTCAGCCAGCACCCCCCTGAACCAGCGGGAGGCCCCCGGCCCAGCTGTCTAGCTACTGCACTCACATTCCTGGGAAACTAACTTGTCTCCTGAGCCATGGGTGAATTCAAAACACAAAACAAAAGAAAACACCAAATTGAACAGGAACATTTTTTGAGAAGTCACACATCTGGCACGGTGCTACTCCCAGGCTGTGCCAAAGTCACAACCCCCTTCTCTCTGGCACTGGGGCAGGATGTGGGGGGGCTGACCAAAAGCAAGGACAGTGGCGTGACCTTGCACGGAGCTGCCGGTGGTGACACCAGCAGGCCCCAAGTGCTGCTGAGAACGAGCGACTGGCTGGGGGTGGCTGACCCCTGTCCTACACCCAGCTGGCCAGGTCCCGGCTTGGCAACTGGACTTTCGCCTTATGTCCCCTGTCCCGAAATGGGCACCAGGCGGGGGGAGGTGCTGGCAGGCTGAGACGGCCTGGCACAGCCCAAGGCTCCTCCCCACAGGGAAGGGGCCGAAGCAGACGCCTGGGATGGCCATCTGGGAGTTGGGTTGGGAGGGGCTGAGCCAGGGTCCAGGACACAGCTAGGGAGGAGGGTTCTCCTTTGGAGGAAATCAAGACATACAGCACTCAGGATGCACACCAGGAAGGGGAGGCCCTAGGCATGTAAATACAGCAAAAACCACTGTCTGGTGGCTCCAGGTTCTACTGACAGTGAATGCACACCCAAACGTGACGCGTCCATGCGCTGTAATTTCACTCAGGCACAAAAAAGGAGGGAAGCTCTGACACAGCCGCAACGTGGAAGGAACCTGAAAACATGCTCAGGGAGGGAAGCCAGGCACAAAAGGTCACACCGCTGTGACTCCATTGATGTGAAATGTCCAGGACAGGCACATCACAGAGTGGGTTCTTGGTGCCAGGGGCTGGGGGTGGGGGATGGGGAGCGACTGCTAATGGAGACAGGGTTTCCTTTCAGGGTGAGGAAACATTCTGGAATTAGATGGTGGTGTTAGCTGCGAATGCTTGTGAAGATAGTAAAATCCACCGAGTTGTGCACCTCAAGGCATTCGTAGAGTACACGAATCACATCTCAGTAAAATTGTCAAACGAGCCCACCAATCTGCCCGCCCCAGTCTACCGCCTGTTCCTTTGGGCTGTTGCTGAACAACACTCCTCCTGTCACTTAACTAAAAAATCCAAAAACCAGAGTCTGAAGCGCTGCTTCCTAGCTACACTACCTTGGTTGAGAGTGCCCCCCTTCACCAGCCCCCCAGGTGGCTGGTTGCTGTGTCAGCCTTTCTGATGCCAGACAGCCCATCCCCTCTAGGTGAGGCCCACAGTGCCAAGAGTATCTGGTAGCCTTAGCTGTCCCCTGGTCCCACAGCCTCAGTTCCCTCCTAGACCGCTGACCATGTGCCGGGCTGAATCCAGCACGTCACCCAGGGAAATTCTGAGTCAAAATATTTTCAATTTCAGGGCTCACCAAACACCAGAGTGCTAAGTGCAGAGTGGGCTGTGGGCACAGACACTGGCTGGGCAATCCTTTCCGCTTTTCTGTGGGTTTGGACATTTTCATGATAAAATGTTAGATAAATAGCAGCCAATGGCATGGCTAAGGAGTTAGTTTCTAGATCCCTCCAGCTGGCAGCAACAGGTGTGGCGGCCCTGGAGGGAACAGGTTTGGGGCCCTGTTTCCAACACTGCCCCTAGAGCTGTGGAACCATCCGAGGACTGCTGACAGCAGCCAGCACGGTCTGGACAGGCAGGTGGGGCTGAGAGGGGCCACAGGGGTGCAGCTGCCATCCCAGGCACAGCTTTCCCTGTGTAGGTTGCTGCCCATCCCAACTGGAAGTTCCCAACACAGGTCATACCGCTGATGGGGCGTCCAGGGGGCCTCGGCCGCGGCGAGACACTGTGAGGCTCTCCTTCCACCCCATCCACCACGGGCCGGCCAAATATGGCCTCCAGCTCCTTGGCGTCCGGTGGGGGGATGGGGTACCTTCCGATGGACAGCTCCACCAGGGACAGGCCCATGCTCCAGATGTCGGACTGCACTGAGTAGTGGGTGCCTTGCAACCGCTCCGGCTGTAGGGGAGATGGAGGGAGGCTGGAAGCTGGGAGCACTCACGGGGCTGGGGAGGTACCTAGCTATTCCCCTCTACAGCCCCATGAGGGTCCCACTGCCCCTAAAAAGGCCAACCCCACAGGAAAAAGGCACTTCCACTTCCCCTTCATAGCCACAGAGAAGGGGGGAGGAAAGGAGGGAGACAGAGAGAGAGACACCTCCTTTTCCAAGAGAATCCCAAGACTGACTTCCGAGAAACGGCTCCTGAGAGCAGATCGGTGGTTTTCAATCACCCAGACATTTCCTACAACACCCGAGGGTCAGTTTCTTGGCTCAGAAATGAACTGATTAATCTCCCCGAATGGATTTTTACCAGCAGGAGAGGAAGTAGGTGGGTGTTTCCAGAGAGGGAGATAGTGGGAATTAAATTTCAACAGGAAGGGAATATCTAGTGAAGACAAAGCTTATGACAGGGAAAAGCATCCAGAAAGTGGGAAGAAGCCAACGGCACAGGGAGAGCAGGGAATGCAATGTCAGCGTGGACCTCAAAAGACTTACCGACATGTAGGACCGAGTTCCCACGAAGGAGTTGGCCATGGAGTCAATGAGCTGCCCACTGACCCCGAAATCGCAGAGCTTGATCTCCCCTCTGGAGTTGACGAGGATGTTGGACGGCTTCACGTCTGAGAGGGAGGTGGGCTGTGGGTGAGAGGCCGCTGCCCTGGCCCGCCAGCCCCCTGCATCCCACCCCGCAGATAGGTACCTCCCCAACCCGTGAGAGCCCCAGCTTCCAGCCTCCCACCACTCCTGGCTTTCTCACCTCGGTGCATGATCTGGTGCTTTTCTCGGAGGTAGGCCAAGCCTCGGAGGACCTGCGGAGAGCACAGGGGGGTCAGCAGAGCCCCACATGCTCAGGTTGAGCAGGGTGGGGCAAGTGAGAACGGGGAAGTGATGGCTATGACACCCCTCACTGTGGGTGCAGACATCCTGCCTCTCACACGCCACCTGCCCCAGAGGCAGCTACCACCACCTCTCCTGCCTGGACAAGGACTGAGGACCAGGGAGCTGACACAGGCTCCAGGCGGGGCTATGCAAGCACACCCCACATTGATAGGGTGAAGGGCTCAAGGGGCATTTCACCAGGTCAGAGAGGAACCAGTCAGGATGGCAGGTCTGGTGCGCTTGACACCCCTGCAGCGAGCCCCAGTGCCTCCCGCGACCCCCACTCCTGCGTGGCACAGGGAAGTACTGTGGCAAAGAGATAGGCCCTGAGAAGCAGCAGGCTTGGGTGAGACCCCCGACAGGCAGGTGCAACCCCAGTAAGCAATGCTTGGTCGAGCTGTTGCCTGGAAATGCACGCACCACAGCCCTGGCTCCACCAGAGCCCTCAGCCGCTACGCCAGAGCTGCTGCCTCACTGCACCAAGGCGGCGCGGGTGGACAGAACCTCAGGGGCCAAGAGGGACCTAACATCTCCACTGACCCTTGGGGAACCGGAGGTCTCCGAGGGTTTCCCCTTACTCAAAGGTCTGTTGTGGGTGGAGACTGGCTCTACCAACTGTCCCTTCTTGGGGCCTGCCCTACACCCACCCCTGGCTTCCAGGGACTCTCAACTGCTGGCTGCGTGGAGGGGCAGAGGGAGAAGAGATGGCTGCAGAGCATAGCTAAGGGCATCTCATGTACCCAGCACTTCGGGGGCCTGCACACTCACCGCAATGCTGACTTTGCCCAAAATCTCTTCGGGAATTCTCTTGGCTTCTTTCAACACTTGGTCCAGAGAACCTCCATCCTAGGAAGAGAGAAAGACAGTTGCTCTGAGCAGTGGGTCAGGTGGGGCTGCCGAGCGACAGGTACAAAGTCGAAGCCTTTCCCTGTTTCCCGGTGAGTCAGCGCATAGCCTCCTCCACAGGAAGCAGAGGCCAGACTACCACTAAATGCAAGCACTCCCCGCCCTGCTGCCTTCAGGGCCTCAGGACCACGCAGCTAGTGAGGAAGTAGAAAGGAACCTGCCCAGGGTGCCAGCATTCTCCCCAGATGCCCATACTTCCCGGAACTGGGGCCCATCCCTCTGCAGAAGGCATGACTCAGCCTTCCTGAGGTTGCCATGGCAACAGCGGGTTGAGGCCAGCCTTACAGCCTGAGCAACTAGAGTGCACCAGCTAGACCTGCCAGCTACAGTCCCAAGTGGAACAGCAGAGATGCCTGGAAATGCCTAGCCCAGGGGGCAGGGAGCCAAGCCAACTGTCCACTCTATTGCTTCCTTGCCCAAGCCCTCAGCTCAGCCCCCATGCCTCCCAGAAGGGATGTGCTGCCCAAGGGGTGCAGTGAAGACTTCAGGGCTGCCGAGGTACCTCTGCCCTTCCCCTTAGGTCTTGTGAGTGCTTGCCACAGTACACAGAAGCCTTGACACAGGTTATCTCGGTTGATTCCCCCAATCCACCTTGGGTGTGGCCCCAAATCTACCTGATGAATAAGGAACCAGTGTCTTGCTCAAGGTTGCCTAACAGCAAACCTGGAGACCAAAACCCAGGGTGTGGCCAGATCAGCCCAAGGTGCCTCCTCAGAGGTGGGGCCCAGTGGAGAACACACCTGCTGGGCACCCCAGGATGCTAGGTGGGCTCGAGGCCTGTCACAGTCTCCTCCATATGCCACACAGAGAGGCATCCAGAGCCAGCCTCAGGGTGAAAAAGTGGGGCCAGAACCGTGTGACCCACAAGAGGGGCTTTCCTGAAGGGTATTCCTCCAGGACGCCCACAGGCACTGGGGCAGGGGCCCTGGAAGAAGCTCTGGTGTCTCAGGGAGGCTCCTGCCACTCCTGCCCCAACCATGTGCGGCGAGACAGTCCCTGGGTGAGGAGTTCTAGAAAGCCCAATGCACTTTAGAGCTTCAGGCACCATGGGTGACTAACAAGCAGCTGTGGGATAGGACAAGGGACTTGTGCGTGCAGAGGGTAGGTGTGGTGGGGAGGTTCCGGGCATCCTGGCGAGCCTGCTCTGGCCGGAGGGCCCACCCAGCCCTACTCTGTGTACAGGCAGGATGGGAATACCCTTTTCTCAGTTTTTGATTTATCAATCAACCTTAGAAGAATTTTTTTTAAAACTACAACCCTGGCTCCCTGACACCTGCTCCTTTTATTATTAGCTTCTGGCCCTTTAGATTCATTCGCTTGAAGGAGCACTTCCTGGGAGAACACGTCAGTGGGCCGGTACCAGGCCAGGATGCCAGGGATCTATGACGCAGACAGCACCCCAACATCAGCCAGGTTGTTTTCTGTGGGGGGGCTGCCCTTCAGGGCACTGTGAGCCCTCCACTAGCATCTCACTGGTCTTGACAACCACAAATGTCCCTAGACATTGCCTGGAGTCCCCTGGGGAAAGCAGAATCACCCCCGGTTGAGAACCCCAGGTCCGTAGCTAAAAAGACTTAAGTCTGGCAGGATAAGTGGTTTGCTCAAGTCACATGGACAGGATGTGGGGCAAGAGATATCAGTACTAGGTCTTTTTGACCCCAAATCTCACTCTGTGCGTGACCATACACTTTCATTTTGTATGTGTGCGTATTCTAAATGTTCCTAAAATGGTATCTTTCTTTGAGTAGGTAGTACACGAATACATTTTCTATATAAAAAGTCAAACACAGATAAATAGCATTCAGATTCCCCAGCAATTCCACTTTCCTCCTCCAAAAAGTAACATATTCTTCCAGATCCTTCTGTGCATTTACATACACATCCATATGCATGGGGGGACACAGAGTTTTAAATACACGTATAAGTGGGCTCATGTTATGCCTGTTTTCCACCTTGGGGAATTTCTCATTTAGCACATACGTGCCAATTTCCTTCCACCATGACAGAGCAACCAGCTCTCATTCTTCAGTCACTCTTGCTGACAGGCGCCTCTGAGTTTTGTTATTATAGAACAAGAAGTGTGTTCTTCTGTAGCCCTGACTAGAGCCAAGAAATACCCCGAGGTGCCTCTGGGTGGTCAGTAAGCTGCTCCCTGGTCACTTCAGCGCTAAGACACTCACTGTCTCCTAGGCCCGGGACAAGTCTTCCCCATCAGACTTGGAAACCAGTGGCCCCAATGTTGTTGAGCCCCAGATGCAAATGCACAGTGGCCAGGAGAGGCCGGCCTCTGTGCTGACTCGGGGCTGACTGTTATTCATTTGAGGTTTTTTTGCAAGCTGGCAATGGAAGCACTGGATGGGAAACCAGGGCCAATCTGCACACAAACTGGAATATTGGTGAATACTCACCCCTTGACCAGGGAGGGAACAGTTGCACAGAGTGGGGGACGTTCACAATTGGTGGTCCAATTGTGGAGCACGAGAAATGAAGATCACCGACATTCCCTCAGCGCTCCGTGAGTGCCGGGCTCGGCTCAGCTCCCTTCATCTCCCCCCGGGGAGACAGCCAGCCCTTGGCTTTGGCTGGACAGAGGAGCATGAAGGTGAGGCTCTCATCCAAAAACCATGGATAGAGGGGAATGGTGCAGCTGAAGTCTGACTCCATCTCAACAACCACGCTCACTGCCCCCAGCAGCACACAATGAGTAAGTGAACCAAGCACAATGTCCAGCAAATGTGGAAAACCCATGTGCATCCATGGGTGTTATCTGGGTGGCTGGGCCATCGCAGCCCCCTTCCCTGCCACTTTAGCGTGGCTGTGTTCTCCTCACTGCTGTCCTCACCCAGGCTGCCCACAAGTGAAGACTCCATTTTGTGGATCATCACCTCCACCCGTAGAAAGCAGGGGAGCCTGAATACTTGTCTCTTCACTTGTGTCTTACGTACGCACATCACTGCCCTTGTGCGCTTGTAAGGGCGAACCAAAAAATCCAATAGGAATTTTTGAATGATGAATGCAATAAAAAAAACCCCGCTGGCCCCTAGCCTGGCATCCTGGCGGTTCAGTCTGTGCTGCAAACTGTTGCTTTAAATTCACCAGGAAGGGAAGGGCGAGGGGGACCCCTGGGTTGTGACACTCCCTTTTCTGCAAGAAAAAGAGGTACCTTCAAACTCCCACGATGTTACACAAGAACATGTAGGGGTGGGAGCACCAGGGAGCAGGCGGAGGGAGAAGGGAGTCACATATGGCAGAGGCTCTCCTCAAACCACAAAGTGACTTCATGTCCTTCTCTCCCCTTCGATCCTGTCTATGCAGCGAGCTTGCAGGCACGCACTAGACGCAAACTCGCTCCGCCAGATGAGGAAAGGGCTGGTACTGGGCACTGCCCGGCGGATCACATAGCTGGGCGGGGTGCGGGCAGGAGGGTGGGAGCACCTTCTGGAGAGCACATCGCTGGGGGTTGTTTCGCCACCTCTGCCACACTGCCCGCTCACGACGCATTCCCCGCAATACGCTTGCTCAAATCCATTTCCTGCCTTTGTAACAGCACCGTCAAGGGGACAGTGCAGAGGGTCCCAGGCCTCAGTTCTAACCACTTCTGCATTTGTTAAACTCAATCCCACCCATTTCTGAGCTGCACAACCAGAGTTCCTTAACAGAGGGCACATCAGAGCCCCAGAGGTTTAGGGAAAGAAGGGTGCCCTGTCTCTACACCAGTGCTTAACCCAACAGCACTGAGCTGAGTGCAGACAGGATCCTGCCTTGTAAACAGCTTCCCCAGACTGTCACACTCTCTTCATAGGGTGCTTTGGAAATGTCAATCAATTTCGAGTCACTGTACCCAGGATGCAGCAGCCCCACTCACACGGAACGCTTGCCCACAGCAGGGACACTCAGCAGAACTGTCTGCAGTGGGAACAGCCTCAGTGTCCACCAACAAGCGTGTTTAATAAATTACTGTTCTGACACGTGCGGACACCATGAGACTAGAAAGCGGGGGGAAGGATGGAGCTACCTGTCTGCTAATGGGGATTGGTTTCCTCCAAATAGCATGTGAATAAGCAAAACTGGGGCAAAGGTGTGTGGTGTCGAAGAAACAGGAATCTATGCTTGCACCAGCATCAACTAGCTCCAAAGGGCCTGCTAGGATCTGAGGCGAGGAGGCTTGAGGGTCACAGGCAGGGAGACCTCCTTGTCACCGACCACTTTTGTCCTAGGTGACTTACTTGTCCTGTTGTATGTGCCTGGAGGCAGACCCAGCATTTTGGGGGGTACCTGCTGAACCCTGGGCTCTGGGCGCACCCATAGGGCCCCACATGCTCACCATGTGCTCCATGCAGATGCTGATCTCGCCGTCACTGTAGAAGGCCCCATAGAAGCCCACTATGTACGGAGAGTTGCACTCGTGCAGCACCTGCAGCTCTCGGATGATCTGGTTCCGTATGGCCGGCTTGATCTCCAAGTGGATCAGCTGCAAGGCAAGGGAAGCGGTTCAGGGTCAGGCCAAGACGGCACCAGGGAGTGGGGAGCTTCGGCACTTGGCCCTCAAGACATTCATGGCCAGCAATATGCTCTGAGGGATCGATACCCAAAAGAACAGAAAGCACACATATCCACGCACACCCCTCACACGCGTTCATAGCAACGTGAGCCACGACAGTCAAAAGGTAGAAGCAACCTAGTGTCTCCCCTCTGATGAACAGATACAGACGTGTCCACCCACACACTGCAGAGGGGGGCAGCTCTGACACTCGCTATCATGTGGAAGGAACCTTGAAACCATGACGCTCAGGGAGAAGCCAGACACACAGGGCCACACGGTGTGTGATTCCAGTCACGTGAAATATCCAGAACAGGCACAGCCACAGACAGAGAGTGCGTTCATGATCATCAGGGCTTGGGAGAGGAGAAAGGGGCGGGGGGGTGAGGGGGGTGACTGCTGAGGGGGTGGGTATATTTTGGGGATGAAAAAGTGTCCCAGAACTGATGGTGGTGATAGAAGCACAATGTGAATATACGAAAAACCTCTGAATTATATATGCTAAAAGGGGAAACAATGATATGTGAATTACATCTCAAAAAAAGCTCTTTAAAAAAAATCAACAAACATTTTTCTTGTAAACTTGGTAAACTCTGTTAAGAGTTTCCTTCCCACCAGATCACACAAAGGACCAGTCTTTCTCAGGCCCCACATCAGGGGGTGCTGTTCTCTGCCCCTCCATCAGTCAGAGGGGGCTTCGCTGGAGCCCCTTCCCACTTCCAGACTAGAGACAACACAGAGAGCCTCGGTGACACCCTAAGATCCTAGCTCCCCTCCCACTTAAGTCTGCAGAGACAACTGTCACTGAATTTGTAACATTTCGAAAGGAGAAAGCAAAGGACTGTCTGGAGATGTAGAAAAGACACTGATAAAATGTCAAGAGCAACTCCCACTTTCAAACCCCAGTAAACCCAAAAACACTGCTGGGAAGGAAGGGCTGAGGGGCTGTGGGCCAGATTCAGGGCACTTAAGTACTTAACATAATGCGAGGCCTTCTAGATTGACAAGGAGCCACCACGGAAGGTATGAGGAGAAAAGGCAGGAAAGAGGAGCAGTGGGGGTTATTTTTCCAGCACTCACTGCAATTCACCCTAACAACTCCACAGGGGTTGGGGGGGGATGAAAGCCCCCATTTCTCTGATAGGCAGGTTTAGGATCGGTGATATAAAATCTCATTCCCAGCACGTCATGGCTGGTGAGTGCTCAAGCCAGGACGGGGCCAGGGCCCCAGGAATGCCAAAAGCCACGCTCTTTCCGTGCCATCACCTCCAGGGTTCGCAAACACTGATAGCTAATCAGATAAGAATGTGCTAGGAGTTCAGACCAAACACCAAGCTGTCTAGGCGGTTAAGGCACTGGATGCTGCAGGATGGTGATTTTGAGTCAGGAACAGGGGTGAGGGGTACAAGTTAAGCTATGAGGAAAATGGACTCTGGTGGCAAAGCCCCGATCTCTTCCACTGCGGCAGGGTCAACTGTGAAGGGCAGATCCAAGGACGGTTCAAATCCACTTCAGACAAGACCAGATCCAACTCAGTTTCCTTGGCTTGAAAGATGAAACTGTTTTTTGATTTGAACGAGAACACATCCAGGAGTCAGCACCAGCTCTGACACGCAGCCACTTGGAAGATGGCGGCTGGCATTGGCCAATGTGGCCTTGGGCAGGTCACACAACTGCTAGTCTAAAAAACCAGCAAGTGCTGAGGAACACAAACACCATGACATTCCTTAGCTGTGGGTACTAGGGAGTTAAGGGAGTTCCCCACCTATAACAAGCACACTAAATTCCTTGAGGATTTTCCTTGCAAGTTGTGCAGTTGTGTTCTTAGGGTCTCTTGGAAGGCTGCAGGAGTCAGAATGTTCTGCTTGGTCGGGAAAACATTTACAAAAAAGTGTGAGTGTAAAGACTGAGACCGGTTTTCTCAGGTATTACAGAACTGGTCTAGTTGCTTTCCAGGCATGTCATACTGGTTCCCGGCAAGTCCTACTGGTTAGGATAATCCTTTGCCAATCAAAGGAACTGGAGGGATACTGGCAACAAAGGATGCTGTACACAGTGGGGCTGTATAGCCCTTCCAGCGGCTCCACCCAGTCCTCAACCCCACACCTGCAGAAGCTGCACTGGTGATCTGATAAGCTTACACACTCAGGTATGTGTGGAATTCATACCTGGCTTCCCGGGGATTCAGAATTCCACCAAGGGTGGTGGAGGAAGGACTGAGGTCACACTGTCACATCAATATTCACAGCTGCGCCCTCAGCTTAATAAAGGCAAACAGGCCTCTGGGGCGACCTGCACTCCAGGTAGATGAAAAGAAACCCTCGAATCCCCCACCTCCAAAGACTGGCCCGACAGCTCTTGGGTCATCAGGGAGCTACCGCCAGAACAGCAGGGCAAGCCGGGCACGCAGGCTCTCGCCCTGCGCTGGGCATGCAGCTGCACAAGGCACAGACAAGTTTAAAATCTAAGGGAACAGAATCTGAGGTCTTTACCTCCAGTATTTTGGATTTTTTTTTCCTTTTACTTCTTTTGAAAGAATTATACATGCAGGGGAAATTGTAAAAACAGCAGAGTCCCTGGCACTCTTCACCCAGTGACAACTATGACTTCGAGGACTGTATCAAATCCAGAAATGGCTGTGGGGACATGTGCAATAGATCACAGGACTGATCTGGCCCCCGGTTTGAAATCCCTAAGTCTCACTTGCTGGGCTTTCACAAAGCCACAGAGAAACTCCCGGTTTAATCTGCACCTTTCAGCCAGAGGTCTGCTGTATGCCCAGTAGGCACCAGATTCCCGCTTATACAGGGCATCAGAGACCACCCAGATGACGGCTCAGCAGGCCCAGAGACTTCAGTCCTTGACACACTGTGACCAGCGCTCTGTTTTCCAGGCCCCTCCCCCTGGGCCAACCATCTGAACGGTGTGTCTGCTTTTTTTTCCAGGTGCTTTGGGCAATGGCAGACCAGAGATTTCCAGGGCTGCTCTGGTTTTGAAAACACTGCCTGCGGTAAGGGGACAGAAATAGAAAGCATGTGGCTGTAGGTTTCATGAGGGAGGTGGTGCTCCAGAGGCAGGAGAAGAAGCTGCAGCACTAAATCCCAAGGGAGACCAAGCACAGTATTCCCAGGAAAGGTGGGATCTTCCAGTGACACTGGGCCCCCCACACAGATCCACCCGAGCGTTGGGGGGTAGGAGAGGTGTATGTGTGTGCCAGATTTCCAAGAATACAATTTGAGAATGACAAGATGATGGATTTCCAGAAAGAAGTGACTTTCTAGGTCTACGAGGACACGCTCACATAAGCCAAGCACCCTGTCCACACAACATGCCCCATTATGTGTTTAGGGGTCACCACCTGACAGTCACATCCTTTCCTTCTCGACCCCTGGCAACTCCCAGGGATTGTCCCCGAACACTTACAGGGAGGTTGCATGATGGCACAGGAGCCCAGAAAAGGGAGGCTTGGGACCTCTCAGTGCCAGGGTTTACACCAGAGGGTGGGATGATGGCTGATTTTGTGTGTCCACTTGGCTAGGCCATGTTCTGGCCAAACACTAGATGCTGCCGTAAGCTTTATCTTGCATGTGATTTAACACGGAATTCACAAAGCACATTATATAAGTGGGTGGGCCCCGTCTAATCAGCTGAAGATCTTAAGAGTAAAGTCGGAGGTCCCTGAAGAGGAAATTCTACCTACAGACGGCCCGTGAACTCCGGCTACACCAGTTCTTCCCTGGGTCTCTATCCTGCTGGCCTGTCTTGCAGATTTTGGACTTGCCCATTCCCATAATTTTGAGTCAGGATCTTAAACTGTCTTCCTGGCCACAGCACTGGTTCTATGGAGAACCCCCAATACTACAGAGTTCTCTGGGGAATTCTCATACAGGTTGTTCGGTTACCCTACTGCCTAAAGAGCCCCTCTCAATGTGGACATCTCAGGCAGCAGCAGAGCCCCCGACTCAGGTCTGCAGACCTTCTCCCGGTTATGAGGGTGAGAGGACTTGATTATCCACTTCTCTTCCCAAAAACTCTACCTGCTGCTTCCTCAAGCTGGTCCATGTCAGTCCAGGAAGTTTCCGGGAATCTGAATTTAATATGTTGCCAAAAGCAGAAGTAAGTAATCAAAGGGAAGAACGGCATGAGGCAAGCCAGCATTGCCACACCCGAGGAAGCCTGCTATTTCTCAGGATCAGAACCCACTGCTGGGGGTAAGAGGGGGAGAGGGCCTCAGAGTCAATCAGAGGCAGAGGCCTGCACCTGTCAAACCTCTCCCCACATGCATGGGCCCTGCCATCGGCACTGGCCTGCTGCTGGCTACCTCTCACCTTTCTTGCCATGATAAGGCCCGAAGGTCTGTGCTGGACCTTGGTGACCACTCCGCCATTCCCGGCTCCCAGCTCCGAGATCCTTTCAAAGTCATCATCCTTGAGCTCTCCGACCTTGGCCTTCTGGGTGAGGAAGGCTTCCAGTCGCTTCTTCTGCTGTTCGTCAAGCTCTAGCTCCTCTAGCTTCTTCTGGAGGTCCACCAAGTTTGCTCTGCAGAGACCCCAAAGGCCAGGATTAGTGAAGGATGTATGAACTACTGGGAGATGACGTGACTCGACCCAAGCCGAGCTGACTGCGAGGCCACTGTGAGGATGCAGACGTGACTCAGAACTGATTCTCATGCTCCAGGGTCTACAGTCTGTCAGGAAAGACAACCACCCACTAATACACACTGGCCAGAACGAAGACCAGCGCCCCGACGGAAGGACCTGGATGCAGCCGCGGCAGGCCCGCTCTACTTCAGTGCCAGAGCTTCCTGACAAAGGGCCTCTAGCTACGCTGGAAGGAGTCAGGGAATTGAGGAGACAAGACCTGGGGTTGGGCAAGCGAAGGGCCGGGCCAGGATGCTGGTCTTTCACGAGGACAGAGGAGCAAACTCATTGAGTGGCCTCAGAGCAGAGAACTCAGACCAGTGGGTGGAAGATAGAAGTTGCAGCATAAGTGCCTTTAATTTACATGAATTACACAGAGGCACTTGAAGGGGACGGGAGAGAGGCATAATTTAAATCCAATTCCAGGGCATTTTGCTCAACCAGCACACTCTTATTACACCCTGAATATGACTGTAAACAGTAGCATTTATGTGGACACACATTCCTGAAGCCAGTTATTAAAAAACCAACTGTGTATACCGTATTTTATTGGGTGACTCAGGACATTTTCAAAAGAAATTCTGACAACAAGTTATTTTCACTAATACTCTGACGTTGAACCACATCTTGGAGAATGAAGTAGTTCTCTGTAACAGCAGGGAAACTTCAGCCCAGCGTACGCAAGAACCCCCCCCCCCAGAGCTGTCCAAAAGAAACAGAATGGAAGCCACATATGCAATAAAAGCTCCCAGTAGCCTCATTAAAAAAGTGTAATAGATGAAATTAATTATAATAATGCATTTGATTTAGCTCATCACAAATATTATCATTTTCAATTACAATCAATATAAGCAAGCTAATAAATACTTGTTTTACTGTTTTCATGTGAAGTCTCTGATGTGTGGGATGTGCGTTACCTGCCAGACCCCCTGACCCGGGACAAGCCCTGCTTGCAGTACTGGCTGTAGCCAAGTGCTAGTGCACCAGACAGGAGGTGAGGCTGTCAGAGAGCCTCTAAAGAGTGGGCCACCCCGGGCAGTCTGCAGCCACTAATTCCCGAGAGTGGCTACACCAAGGATGAGTGCCCAGCTGGGGGTGACTTTCTTGAGGGAATTCAAGCAAAAGGTCAAAGGGGAAACAGGAGTTCTCTCTGGTCCCTACCCATGCTGAAGTCTGCCCACGACTCTCCTGTAACTCAGAGGTGGGAGCAGCGGGGCAGGCAGGGCAGAGGATGGCGCTGGCTGGTGTATGCTACTGCAAAGAGGGCCCTGAAAGGCAGTAGGCTAGGTGCCACTTCCTGGGCATGGACAGCCTCACCAATACCATCTCACCATCTTGTTTTGTTCTTCTGGTCCGCCTGGAGGGCAGGCGTCTCATAGTTCTAGCCCACAACAGTCTCCCACAGGTCACAACACAAGGAAGTGGCAGTGCCTGGGAGCAAACATGTGTCCCTCCTGATGGCAAAGCTGGTGCTTGTGGCCTCTGCTTGAAGTAGTAGTGTCTTTCTCCCTGAGCCAGGACCAGGCCTAGAAGGAGCTCACTGAATGCCCCTTGAGGGAAGACCAGGATGGACAAGCAAGAGGACATGACAGATGGCAGGAGAAAGGAAAGGGATGAACACGTAGGACCGGACTCCCGTGTGAGGCGAGGCACCTACAGTACATTGTGGAGGGAGCTCATTAATGCATTTTCAATTTAATGGCAACTATCTGTGGTTAGAAAACAACCCTAGAATTTCAATGGCTGGCTTCCTGTGCGGGAATTCTTGAAGGGCTGGAAATCAGAAACCACAGAAGTAAAAGGAGAGAAGGTAGAAAGGGGCTCTCTGGAGAGAATACGGATGAATTTCTGAAAATAAGAGACACATCCCCCTGCTGTGCTGTGCCCTCAGAGACAAAGAGATCAACACTCACGCATGCATGAGACTCATCCCCTTTTGGTCCCAGAGTGCCCACCACTAGGTTCCCATGGGGTCAAAGGGAGCTTGGCCAGGGGCCTCAGGACCCTCCTGCCGTGCTTAGACATGGAGAGCATTAGTGGGAGGCCACAAAGAATATTCTGGGACCAAGTGGTCACCCTGGCTTAAGCTCACAAGACATGATCCACCCATGACAACCCCGCCAACCCAGAAACACCTTTCTCTGTCCCCTTTGACCCAAATTCTCTTCCCCAAGGGCCTCCAATTGCCTGCACTTCTCCAGCCCCTTGAGGCCTCGCTGATCCCTTCAACTGAGAATCTGTTCCTCCACTTTGAGGAGTTCCAGCAGGCCCTCCCAGCTCTCCTTCACTGCTCCCCTTTCTCCCCATACCCCACCTCTCCAAGTCACACCTTGCTTCCTCAGTCTCTTTGCCTCCTCAACAATCTCCCCAGCTTTGGTGGGAGATTGTCCACCCTCATCCCCACTATCAGGACTTCTCATCATGTTCTTAATTTCTAGGTCCCCTTCCTTCCAATCCCCAGAGACCACCCACGCTGACCCCCTCCTCCTCATCTCTCAGGAATGCACAGGTCACCCCATCCCTACCCCCAGGAACCTACCACAATCCTCTCTGCCTGCCTCACCTCTCAGGTACCCTTCTCCTCACCTGCACTCTGCCCTCACTGCTCAGGGCCTTCCCGAGGGACTCCCTCTCTCCAATCTTACTACTCAAGGAATCATCAGTGGTTCATTCCCTGCAGGATCCCCTCTCAACCCACCTTCTCCTCTCAGGAACCCCATTTATCCAGTTCTCGGCATGCGAGAAGCAAGCACCGCCTCCCTCCACCCAACTACTCAGGGAACCCCCCTCCCCTTTCTCCATGCCACTACCAGGAGCCCCGTCATGACCCTCATTTACTACTTGGAAGCCCCACAACCCATCTTCTTCCTTTCACCTCAATTCACCACCCAGGGTACTTGGGTACCCCTGTCTACTTCAGGCCCTCTCCTTCCCGCTTCTCCTCTCGGGGACCCACTCCCCCCACCTCCCTACTCAGGGGCCCCCACCTGTCGTCTCCTCTCGGTGATCCCATCCCCACCGCTCCCCAGAGGCTCCCCCTCCCCTTTCCCTCCATCCAGGAAGCCCTCCCTCCCTCGGTCTTAGGGATCCGTCTCTTCTCTTCTCCCCAGAAGTACCTCCACCCCATCCTCCCCGATCGGGGACCCTCTCCCCGCCCCCACCCCTGACCACTCTGGGACACCCCTCACCCCCTCCTCTCCTGTCAGGTGCCCCTCTCTCCACCTCAGCACTCAGGGTCACCACCCCCCCAAGCGCGCGCCTCGGGGACTCCCCCCGCGCCGTCTCCGGGACGGCCCCCGGCCCGTGCACACCCGGCCCGGCCCACTTACTCGGAAGCGCCGTCGCTGGTGGGGGACGGGCCCTCGGCGATGGCGGGGTTGATGGTGAGCGCCGGCAGCACCGGCTTCCTCCGGGCCAGCATCGGGGCTCCGCGGGCCGGCGGCGGCGGCGCCTCTAGCCGGGGCCCATAGGGGGCGGGCCGGGAGCGGGCAGCGGCGAAGTGAGCCCGGGGCTGCGATCGCGGCCTAGCCGGCGCCGGGTCGGCGAGCCAGGCGGCGCCGCGGACCGGGACGGAGGGGCGCCGGGGCTAAGCCGAAGGGCAGCCGCTGCCGCCGCCGCCCGACCGAGGCTGACGCTGCAGCCGGAGCCCGGAGGCCGAGGGAGGGGAGGGGAGCGGCGAGATCGCGGACGGGCCTCTCGCGAGAGCCTGAGCCAGGAACCACGCCAGGCGCCGGCCCTCGCCGCGCGCGTGCGCACCACTCCCAGGCCGCCTCCCCGACGGGGAAAGGGGCGGGGCCCGTCGCCAGGCGGCGCCCGGAGCGTGCGCACTAGCTCGATTCCCACCGCGCCTGTGCACATGCGCCGGGGGCGCCGGCCTGGCTGAGGGGACGGGGCGGGGCGAGGCCGGAGGGACGCGGGAGGCTGAAGGGCTGGGGGACGGCCACGATGGCGGTGATGGGCGTGAGCAGGTGGGCTGGGGAGAGGCCAGACCCCTCAGAGACTTCTGGGTGGCGGCGGGGACTGCATAACCGGGTAAGATCCCCGGAAGTTTGCGAGAACCACCCTGCGTCAAGTTATTGCTTCTGTCAGCTACGAGTGCAGGAGCACACACACGTCCAGCCACCTCCTGCTGTCGTTATCCCCGGTCTCTCATGAGAGAAAGCTCATTTTAAAAGTTTTGTGGTGGTAAATAAACATGACATTTAAAAAATGGCCATTTTAGCCATCATAAGTGCACACTTCAGTGGCAGTAGGTATAGTCACACTTGTGCAACCCACCTCCCCACCAGCTGTCTCTAGAACTTTCTCATCTTCCCATACTAGAACTCTGTCCCCTTTAAACACTAACTCCCCAGGCCCTGGCACCCACCCTCTACTTTCTGTCTCTATGGATTTGCCCCTCTGGGAACCTTCTGTGAGTGGAATCACACAGTATTTGTCCTTTTGTGTCTGGCTGATTGCACTGAGCAAAATATCCTCAGCCAAGGTTTAAAAAAGGAGGAACTACGCAGCACAGAATGAAAGGCAGTCATTTAAACGGGGAAAAAAGAGCATGAAAAAATTCCCCACGTTGCTTTTCTTTTTCTTATATCTCTGAGCACTTGTGTGCTTTTCATGGTGGGGTGCACCTGTGGAACCAGGTGAGAAGACAAAGAAAGGGACCGGCTCAGTCCACGCTCTTCCAGGTTACAGTCCATGGGCCTGGTCTCCGTGGGTCAGTCCTGCACACTTCCAGTCCTGCTGCCCCCTCATTCATTTAACATTTAAATTGCAATGTGCTAGATACTTTGGAGCAATGTTAATAGCTACAATGTAAATAGAGACAATGTTAAAAACACACTACAGATACATGAAATTGTAACCAGCTCTACCCTCATTTAAAAATGCTCAGGGAGGGCCTCCCAGATGGTGCAAGGGGTTAAGACCGCAGCTGAGTTCGATCCCGGCCAGGGAGCTGACCCACTTGGCACAGCAGAACACTCCTGACTCACCCGTTGCTCCCCTCAGCAGTGTATTTCCATCCATTTGCCTGTTCTGTTCCCCACTCTGTCTCTAGTGAACCCTCTCACCCCGCCCCACACCTCTGGCCTGTACCCCAGTTCTTGTATGCATAAATAAATCTTAAGGGCCTCCCCGGTGGCGCAGCGGTTGAGCGCTGGGTTGCGAAGCTGTCCGCAGCCTCTGCAGCGCCGGTTCCATCCCCCGCTGCTCCCCGGCCACCAGAGGAGGGTCCCACATGGCGCGCAGACCTCTCCTGCCGCCTGCTGCTCCCCTCAGCAGTGTACTTCGGTCCTTCTCTCTGTTCTGTTCCCCGCTCTGGCTCTGGTGAATTCTCTCACCCTCCCGCGCTTCTGACTGTAACCAGTGCTTGTATAAATAAATAAATAAATCTTTAAAAAAAAAATAAATCTTAAAAAAAAAATGCTCAGGGAACCTTTACATCACTTCTGCAATAACTGTCTTTTTAGTTTTTCCTCTCACTTCTCCCACCCACTCACCCAAAGTTCAGGGGAGTACTCATCAGGCCTCAAATAATGCCACCAACTTTCCCAATGCTTGGCATTTCTACCTTCTATTATGGCAGGTGATCTCTCTGTCATATTATTTTAGGCTATAGAACAGTGTTTTTTAAGTTGAGCTACAAATTGCATATAATTAGGGTACAGTTCTGGAAAGTTCCTTGAGCTTTTGCAGTTGTAAACACCCATGTAAGCATTCCCGGAAACAAGATGCAGAACACAGCCATCACTTTAGGGAGTTTCTTCAGTGTCCTTTTCGGTTAATCTCCTTGGCCCCAACCATCTGTGGTGTATTGGCTAATGTTTAACATTTTTTTTTTCTTTTTAGAGAGAGAAAGAGGTGGACTTGTAATTTGTAGCATTTGCCCATTTGTGTGGTATTAAGTATTCCGACCATGAATGATTCCACCTACCATGAAGTGTAAAAGAATGTCAACCATTAGCATTTATGAACCAGGACCAGCTGACCAAAATCCACCCCTAACGTAGAGATTCTGATTTCTGTCTCCATAGATTAGTTTCATATGTTCCAGAGCTTCACAAACAGGATTGTAAGGTAAGTACTCTTTCTCACTCAACTTCTTTTGTTCGGCATGATGTTTTTGAGAGTCATGTAACATGTGGTTACATGTAACAGTAATTTGTTATTTTTCACTTACTATATGATATTCTGCTGTGTATATTCTGGAATATACACAGCTTCCTGTGGGATAGCTCTTCTCGAGGATTAAGAGATCAAATATTTTCTAAAAATTAGAATTTTTAGTTATCCTCAGTTCCTACCCAGAGGCTCAGCTCCCATGCCACCTTTTCCAGAAAGTCCAATTTTTCCTGTATCTGCAGGTTTCCTACTTCTTCAATTTCTCAATAGGTCCTACTTATTTCTGGCTTATGATCCTTGATGCATTCTGATTCACATAACTGCTCTTTTGTGATGCTTCCCCTATTAGTTTTGAAAGTGGATTTGTCTCCTCTCTCCCAGTTCAGCCCCTTAAATATAATTGATACTCCATACATATGTGCTAGTTGAATGAATAAAGTTTCTGTCCTCAGAGAGACAGGTTTCCTGCTAATCACCTGATTCTCAGCAGACATTGAGGTTATAGTCCAGACTCACACCCTACTGTATTTTTACTAGCAAGCACATTTTGCTCTATAAACCTCTCCCTGTTATATATCTCTCTACTTATCATTGACTCCAATTACATATTTCTTACAATGTCTGCTCCCTGGTCTCAGAGACTTGGGTGTCTCCTAAATCAATCCTCCTCACCCCGGAAATAAGTTTCTAATAGCTTTGTTGATAGAGTCAATCCAAGGTGACATTTATCTTGTTTAGGTACAATCTGGTACTAATAGCACATGTGTACACAGTTCCTATCTCAAAATGCACCCTGAACTTTATCTCTCTCACTGTGCAATGGAGTAACTGAAAGAACGGCTGATCAGACTCCTTTGGAAAGCAATTTAGCACCATCTAGAATATACTGACCCGCCAATTCTCCTCCTAGGCATAAAGCCTAGGAAACCGCAACCCTTGATGAACCAGGAGACATGTACAATGGTTTTCTTGATGACAAAAATCTGGAAACCACACAAGTGTCCATCAATTGAAGAAATGAAAAACCATGTTCTAGTATAGTCCATAAAGAAATGTTATGTAGCAGAAAGCTCCCAAATGACAAGGTAAACAAGTCTTGGAAACACAAAGTTACAGAAGACTCTGACATCATTTTTATGAAATAGGAAAAAAAAAAAAGGCTTGGCATCATTAGCTATTAGGGAATGTAAATTAAAACCACAGTGAGATACTATCACACCCCTGAAAGAATGGCTAAAATTTATATGATAATAGCAAGTGCTGACAGGGATGCAGAGTTGTTGGTGGGGATACAAAATGAGATAGCCCCCCCTGGAAAGTCATTTGGCAGTTTCTTAGAAAAATAAACACACACCAGATGATCCAGTGTCTCCTCCGTGTTTACCCAAGAATAATGGACTTATAGTTTCTCACAAAAACCTGAACAGGGATGTTTGTAAAGTTTTATTTGTACTAGACCAAAAACTGAAAACAACCTAAATGTTCTTCAACCGGTAAATTTAAACAAAATGAGGCTTGGTAAAATGTGAAAATTAAATTAACTAAAATTGAAGTCAGGAAGGCGAGTAGAGGGCGCTCTCACACATTTCCCGCCCCCCTCCCACCCCATCATTTGCACGCAATTGTCTTCCTTGCCTGCCCTCAGAAAGTAGCCCATACCCTCACACTTCCAAACAAGGAAGTCATCTTCTGAGTACGGGAAGGTTTGTCCTGCCTAGCAACAGCTCCACCAATGAGGAGCACCACCATCCATCTAACAGGAGCCCTCACCACCCCCATTTTCTCTATAAAACCTGAGGTTTTTTTTTTTTTTTTGGGGGGGGGCCTCTATTTGCCTATTCTTTGTATACCTATTTGCCTATTCTTTATATACCTATTCTTTATATACCTATTCTTTATATTTGCCTATTCTTTATATACCTATTCTGAATCAAGAATCTTATGGTTATTCCTGAATATACTTCTTCTGTTGAGAAATTGACTGGCTATTTTTGATCTAAAGTCAACCAAATAAATAAAATTGTGTGGAGTAATTCTGTACAATGGAATACTACTTAGTCATTAAAAGAAATGAACTATGACTCCACAAAAACAAAATAAAATTTGGGGGAATCTCAGAAGTATCATTGAAAGAAGGCCATCTTTAAAAGTTATTAGAATATGATTCTATTTGTATGACATTATTTTAGTGACAAAATTATAGTGATGAAAACAGATCAGAGATGGCCAGGGATCAGGATTTGGGGAAGGTTGTGACTATAAGGAGTTTCTTTGGGGTATGGGAACTGTTCTGTAGTGTGATTATGATGGTGGTTACACAAATGTGACAAAATTTCATAGTCATACACATACCCCCCACCCCCTCAAACAAGAAGTTCATTTTTAAACCAGTGGGGTCAGAATAATTTCTATCATACCAATGTGAAGTCCCAGATTCTCAACATTGTGCAATGGCTATGTAGAATGTTATTTGGGTGGGGGAAGCTGATGAAGGGCACAGGGGAACTTTCTGTATTTTTTTTTTGCAACTTTGATGTAAACCTACA